GGCATTACAGGCAGACTCACCGTTGGCAAAGGCGCACGCATTCAACAGATTGACTGCGTACATCGACGCTCAAGGAGTCATTCGCGTCGGCGGACGACTCGCTCACGCAGCTCTCTCATTCGACGCGATACATCCTGTTATATTGCCTCGTCACTCTCAGCTGTCGTCATTGATCATCGCTCACGCTCATCAACGGACTCTACATGGAGGCACGCAGCTTACGCTGTCACACATCAGACAACAATACTGGATTCTCGGCGGGAGGGCTCCTGTCAAGTCTCACATCCTGCGGTGTGTCACGTGTGCTCGGCAAAGGGGGATCCGTGCTCATCAATTGATGGGCCAACTACCTCTCTCTCGAGTTACGCAGGCACGACCGTTCACTCATACAGGTGTAGACTACGCAGGGCCGCTCACCGTCAAAACGTGGAAAGGAAGAGGTGCCAAAACAACGAAAGGCTGGATTTGCGTTTTTGTCTGCTTCTCAACCTCAGCAGTACACCTCGAGGCGGTCAGTGACTACTCAACGGAGGGATTCATTGCCGCCTATCGACGCTTCTCATCCAGACGCGGCATCGTTCATACCTTACACTCAGACTGCGGCACCAATTTCATCGGCGCGGATGCAGCTCTCAAAAGGCTGTTTATCCAGTGCACTCAGGAACATCAGCGAGTTTCTCACCTGCTCTCGCAAGATAACACCCGATGGGAATTTAATCCCCCAGCGACACCTCACATGGGAGGAAAATGGGAGGCCGTCGTAAAATCCATCAAATATCATCTACGGCGGACCATTGGAGAAAGCGTGCTCACCTTTGAGGAGCTCACCACATTGCTCACTCAAATTGAGGCAATTCTCAACTCGCGACCTCTCGAACCATTGAGTGACGACGCAGACGACATCTCAGCACTCACGCCAGGCCACTTCCTCGTAGGAAGTCCGCTCACCGCCATACCAGAGCCCTCGCTCACCGACATGGCAATCTCAAGACTCTCTCGATGGCAGCTCATCCAGCAGAAGACACAACATTTCTGGACACACTGGGCAGCGCATTACCTACAACGACAACAAGCCATCTCAAAGTGGCATCACAGGAACAACGAAATCAAGGTCGGGTCATTGGTGCTCATCACCGACGAGCGGCTACCGCCATGCAAATGGCCGTTAGCCCGGATCACGGCTCTACATCCTGGGAAGGATGGGCTCGTGCGGGTGGTGACTCTGAAGACAGCCACTACCACTCTCATCCGACCAGTGGTCAAGCTCGCCGTCCTGCCAATATCATCATAAGATCAGGGATCATCAACTACGTTGCTGATGGCGGGGAGAA